ACTTTATAAAGCTATAGTGATTCAGTTGGGATCCTGACACAGAAAAAAAAAAGAGAATCCAGAAACAGGCCCAAGAACATGTGGTCACTCAGAGACAGAAATGGGGGTCAGAGGCTCTCCTGGAGGCATGACCCTAGGACAGTGACAACACAGAAAACAAAATCATCACACCCTTGTTACACAATTAGACCAAAATTAATTCCATGCAAACCCAGTGTTCTAAGACAAAACATCATAAATGCATTAAAGGAAAACAAGGGCTATTTAGTTTCTAAAGAGCTTTAAATAATCTTGGCATGGAAAAGGCCTTTCTGAGTTAGACAATGACATAAAAACAGGAGCCTGCTGAATCTGACAAGTAGCATTCTAAATGTCCTGAGCAGCAAAAATGTATTACTCATAAAGTAGAAAGACTGCAAAGTGAGGGAAATATTTGTTAAATTGATGATAAAAGATTAATATCTGTTATACAAAGAACACTTAGCAATCAATAAGAAAAGGGCAAAACACTGACAGAGAATATCAATAAGAAACTCGAGTTAGCCAAGACTGGTGCATACCTATAATCCCAGCACTCAGGAGGCAGAGGCAGGAGGATCAAGAGTTTGATAACAAGCCAGGCATGGTGGTGCAGTCCTTTAATCCCAACACTCAGGAGGCAGAGGCAGGCAGACCTCTGGCACCAACGCCAACCTGGTCTATATAGTTAAGTTCCAAGCCAGCAGTGGCTACAGGAAGACCCTGTCTCTAAAATAAAAACAAAACAAAACAAACAAAAAAGAAACCAAAACAAAAAAACAAAACAAAGAAAAAAAACCTCACAAACATAAAAAGAATTTGAGGCTAGATTGGGTTACATAGTGAAACCCTGTCACAAAAATATTTCACAAAAATATAAATACATTAAGAGAAATTAAGCCTATGAAAAGCAGCTCATTTTTTAAAATTTTTTTTTCATTTTATGTGTATGCATGTGTTGCCTGCATGTAGGTCAGTGCACCCGTGTCATGCAATGACCGTAGAGGTCAGAAGAGGCTGTGGGATCCCCTGGGACTGGAGTTATGGACAGTTGTTGTTAAGGTTCAGAAAGCCCCGCCCCCTCACCAACAGGCTCTCAAGGACTTCTCAAGCTCCTGAGAAAAGGGAACTGAGTTGATAAGCACCTTGGTCTTTGAAGTCAAGAGAAGCAGACTTTTCTCCACTGTTTGGCCAACCCAGCAGGCTTCCCCCTTTGATCTCTAAAGAGAACAGGTTTTAACAGTCCCACTCTCCTACTCCCCACCACCACA